CAAGAAGAAAGCGGCCGCAGGTGGGAGCAGGGCGAGGGTTCGTGGGGGGGGGCCCGCAGCCAAGAAGCCCTCGGGCTGAGGATTCCCCTGTGGCCCTGGGTCTGCGGCCCCGTCCCGGCGCCGGGGGAAGAGGCCCCTCCGGTTTGCCCGAGACGAGCGGGGGGGCTTGGCCGGTCTGTTTTCTGTTATCTTTTGTAGTTAATCAGGGAGGAGATGTAATAATCACGGATGGAAGAGGAGAAATAAACAACTTATGTTTATTTTTTTTAACCCCTTAGCGGTTGATGAATCGGAACTTCTCACTGTGCCAGATGGATGGAAAGAGCCAGCCTTTACACGAGAGGATAATCCCAAAGGGCTGCTGGAAGAAAGCAGTTTTGCAACGTTATTCCCGAAGTATAGAGAAGCATACTTGAAAGAATGCTGGCCACTAGTCCAGAAAGCATTGAGTGAACATGTATGGATACTTGTTAATTGTGTTTCTGTGTTTTATCATTTGGAAGATAGAGATATTAAGCTTATAAAAATAGTGCAAGTCACTTTTCTCATATTATATTTGTGTATGCATCTCTCTGCTTGCATTAAAAATTAGTAGTGTGATTTCTGTATTGGCATCAAATCAGTGAAGGTCTGTTCAATTAGACTTGCAGTTCCTTACAGATACTGTCAGCAATGGTCTTTGCAGCAGAGTCTCCTCATCCAGTCACTGATAACTTGGTTGCACTTGAATGCAGAGAGATGAGGGAGGTGATGTTTTGGGCCTTGTGACACATATATTCAGTCTTTTGTGTGCATGTCTACGTGTGTGAATTGCCTTAGGCTGAAAGTTGTTTAAGGAATTTGGGCAAATGGATATGCATTCAGTGTTCTGTTTGTTAGCTTCTTGCTGCTGAAGATGAATTCTGAGATTCTTATTTAGAGATTGATTCACTATTTCTTTTTAAATGTTGCAGTATGTGAATGCAACACTGGATCTAATTGAAGGAAGCATGACTGTCACTACCACTAAGAAGACTTTTGATCCATATGCAATCATCAGGGCTAGAGATTTAATAAAACTTCTGGCAAGAAGTGTTCCATTTGAACAGGTCTGTATTAAATCCTGGAAGTTTGTATGAAATTCTATCACACTACTTACAAAATAGTATGTTTTCACAATGTGGAGTTTTCAAATGAGTCAAATAAAATAAAATATGTGTTTAAAGTAAACATGTCTGAAAATGAAGTGACAAGAATAAACGGAAGTATTCTCTTGACTCTTCCAAATAATAGATTTGCATTCAGGTGATATTGCCTGCTTCTTCTCTCTTTAGGCAGTTCGTATCCTTCAGGATGATGTTGCATGTGACATCATTAAAATAGGCTCTTTGGTGAGGAAGAGGGATACTTTTATAAAAAGAAGAGGAAGGCTTCTTGGGCCAAAAGGATCTACTCTGAAGGTACTTCTGATAGGTGTAGTAACCAGACAATTCTTAGTCCCAAATTGGTGTCACGTCTTTGATTTACACTTATTTAATTTCATTTTTTTTGATGTAGGCCCTGGAACTGTTAA